TTGCATTCTTGAAATCTCCGAAAACTGCAAATTTGGCCGGGACTCCGCCGGGTTTTAGAAACAGTATGACGCCCCCTTTTTTTTAGGATCCGCTGGGTTTGTTTTCTGTTTTGGGCCGCAAAGAAAGAAAGAAAGAAATGTAAAACGGGTCGAAGCCCGAGCTCGAACTAATTTTTGACCCAACAATTAAAAAAAAAGGGGGTTCTTTTGATTAATTAATTTGCAATGGTTAATTAAATTAATTAATTATTGAGTTTTTCTAATGTTAAAGCACCTTTTTGTCATAAATATATGTAGAAAAATGTAAAAGTTGACATCAATTTTAGTGTTGATGCTAAGTGAACAAATTTAATTAGACAAATGATAAATTAAATATCAACTTTGTTTTTTTAAATACATATTTATGATGAAAAAATGTATTTATTGTATTTTTAATTATTTTAAGGGTCTGTTTAAACTATGCCTTAAGGGCACAAATTAATATACAATAAATACACTTTTTTACAATTAATTTATATAAAAAATAATAAAAGTTGGACTGTTATTTTAGTGTCATTATCACATGTATAGTTTTGATTAATCAATTAATTAAATTGAAATTAACTTTTATCATTTTTTATATAAATTAATTATAAAAATGTACATTTATTACACCCTTATCCTGTGCTTTAAGGCACAACATAGAAAATTCCTTATTTTAATTTATTCTCATTAGTTTTAATCAAGGTTTTGATTAAGTTAATTAGGATTTAATTAAGATAGTCAATTTTTAATCAATTTGATTAATTATCCTAATGAATTAATTTTTTTCTATCACTTTTCAATCTCCATTTAAGTCATTAATTGGTGAGCGAAATTAGTTATTTTTATCTCTTTCTAGTTAAATATTTTAGTTCACTTATTCCATTTTTAACTTTGATTAAAATTTGATAGGGTGAAAATTTCCAAAAAATTTCCAAAAAAAAAAAAAAAAATCCTTCAAAAATTTTCATTTTCATATTTAAACCTTAAATTTTATTTAACTCTTTCAATCTACATTTTAATCTTTGAAAATAAATCCATCATCTTCCATAAAATTTCAATTTCACTAATCATTTTTAAATTGAGTCAAATAAGGCCTAACATAAAGTAAATCAAGTTAAAATACCAAAGTTAAAAGTATGCAATCATGTTTTTTTTATAGAGATTGTGAGATACATGTCTACCCTTACTTAATTTGACCCTCAAACTTAGATTTCTATATAGACCATTTTAAGTGATTTGTCCCACTTTAAATTTTAAATGAGTGGTGACTCCAAAAGTTATACTTAATTTTTAAATTTCATAATTTGAAATTTTAAATAGTTGTTAACAGTTATGATAATGCAATCATGTTTCTTTATGTTTCAAAACCCCAATATACTTCTATGGCTTATTCATTTACGCTGCTGCTAGCTATTTGTTTTCCATAAAACTACATTGGCAGACTAAGCTAAACTTATTGAAAAAACTACGTAGTTTAGCTTAGTCTGCCAATGTAGTTTTTTCAATAAGTTTGCAAATGTACTTTCAATTTGCAAGTATAGGTTGTATTAGTCTGCATGGTATATATTGTTAATGTTGAGGTCTATCATCTCCTTTGTCCAATTTGCTGTTAAGTCTGTTCTATAGTACGTTGTAATTTTAGTTTGCCTTTTAGTTATCGTGCCTATATTTTATTTTAAGTTTAGTTTCTTTCTTCTTTCTTAACAAACACAAATTACTAATCCTGGATATGCAAAGTTTCTAATGATTTTCTAAAGCATTTTTCTTAAACCATCTGTGCTTGAAAGCACAACTCCTTCCTGCCATTTGTTTGATTTGGAGTGCATCTTTTTATTCAAGTAACATTCTTCTAGCCGTTCAACTTGGAAGAAAGTCCTTTTCTTATTTTTTTTTAAGAGGCAAGTAGCACACTTGAACATTTTTACCAAGCAACAGCTACAAGGAGGATTTTTGAAAAGGCAAAACCATAGGTTAAGCCCCTGAACTAACCCAAGAATCGCTATTAAGCCCCTAGACTTTAATTGATGCAGTTAAGCCCTTGAACTCTGAGATTAAAGCAATTAAGCCCTTTTTATTAAGCAATTTATTTTAAAAATTAAAGTCTAAGAGCTTAATAGCGTAAGAAGAAGGGCTTAATTGCTTTGATCCCAAAGTTCAAGGGCTTAACTGCATCAATTAAAGTCTAAAGGCTTAATAGTGATTCTGAGGTTAGTTCAGGGGCTTAACTTATGGTTTTGCCTTTTGAAAAAACAAAGGTGTAGTTATGGTCATCTATCATTACGTTAAGATTATCTAAAAGTTGTTTAGTTTAATTGATATTTTATTTATTTGTAATTTTTTT